GAAACAAGGAAGCAAAGAATGAAAGGGTAAAGAGATAGATAGTAAGACAAAATACAAAGAGATGGTAAGATGGAAGGAATCAAGAAAATATAAAGAGTCATGCTTCGTCTAAAATTTAAAAAATGGAATATCTAAAGTCCCGCAAGAGATAAATACAAAAGATATTTCTTACCTCTGCAGTAGATGTTACTTACCTCCTACATATCAACAAATCAATATTCCCAGCAGATATACCTGTTAGAATATGACTTGAATTTGATTTGGGTTTGTTTTGTGTTTTGGGCCTATTTTGTTTGGGTTTGTGTTTGGGATTTGTTTGACCTTTTCCTTGTATGTTTGTGAAAAGGTGTTTGGTTTTCTGTTTGGGATTAGGAGAAGAGTATTTTTGTGTTTTGGGCCTATTTTGTTTGGGTTTGTGTTTGGGTTTTGTTTGACCTTTTCCTTGTATGTTTGTGAAAAGGTGTTTATTTTTCTGTTTGGGATTAGGAGAAGAGTTCTATAAATACTCTTCATCACCCTAGTCTGTAGTAAGGTCAGTCAGGTTAGTTTGTTTGGTTTGTCCGTTTGGAATTTGGTTTGTAACCTGTACTCTCCTCAAAATCAGTGAAATTTGTTCTCCCTTGCCCGTGGATTAGCTAGCACACATTGTGTTAGTGAACCACGTTAAATTTGTGTTCGTTCGTGTTGGTTTGGATTATCGATTGCACGCTTCTGTTCTGACAAGTGGTATCAGAGCCTTTGGTTGCGGTTTTGGGAATTTGGCGTTGGACTGAAGTTTTACTTTGTGGAGTTTGGTTGGTTGGAGTTTGTTTGATAGTAAGAATGGCTGCTATCAGTATGAAGATTGAGAAGTTTACCGGAAGAAACAGTTTCAGTTTGTGGCAGATCAAGATGCAAGCACTGTTGAAACAACAAGGTTTGTGGGCTCCGTTGTCTGGAAAATCGAAGAAGGAAAGTATAGATCAAGAAGAGTGGATTACTTTGGAGGAGAAAGCTCACTCTACAATCTTGCTTTGTTTAGTTGATGACATCATCACTGAGGTTGCTGCTGAGAAGTCTGCCGCGGGTTTGTGGTTGAAGCTTGAAAGTCTATACATGACAAAGTCTTTAACCAACAAGTTGCATATGAAGCAACGTTTGTTCAGTTTGCGTATGGAGGAAGGTACGTCTCTCAGGAATCATCTAGATCAACTCAATACTATCTTGCTAGATCTGCGGAATATTGATGTTAAAATAGATGATGAGGATGCTGCCTTAATTCTGTTAGTATCTTTGCCACAGTCATATGAGAATTTTGTGGATTCTTTTATTGCTGGGAAAGATAGTCTGTCTTTGGAAGATGTCAGATCTGCTCTACATACTAGAGAGGTTCGACATAAGGCGTCTGGTTCGGAAAATCAGGCATCTGGGTTGGCTGCTACGAGTAGTAGGAGACAACAATCTGGTAATAGGAAGATGGATACAAATTCGAATTCTGCTGGTTTGAAAGATGATATCTGTCATTACTGCAAGGAGAAAGGGCATTGGAAATTTGATTGTCCTAAACTGAAGAAATATCAGGAGAAGAAGGAATCATCTGTTGCTGTGGCGGAAGAAACTAACTCTGATTCTGAAGATGGTTTAGCCTTAGCAGTGAATGAACAGGCACATCATCAGGATGTGTGGTATTTGGATACTGTAGCTGATTATCATATGTGTCCAAGCAGGGAGTGGTTTTCAACTTATGAGCAGGTAGATGGAGGACATGTTTCTATGGCCAATGGTGCTATCTGTAAGATTGTTGGAAGAGGCTCAGTCAGGATGAGGACAAATGATGGTTCTGTTCGCACCTTGAACAATGTTAGGAATATTCCAGAGATGACTAAGAATCTGATATCTTTGAGTCTACTCGACAGCAAGGGTTTCAGTTTCAAAGGTGAAGGTGGAGTGTTGTTTGTCTACAAGGGTTCTAAGGTGATTTTGAAAGGTGTCAAACACGGTGCCTTGTATGGTCTACAAGGTTCTGTTTTGACATGTTGGTGATAAGTGCAACAAGCTGGTTTTGAATGGCAAGTCTCAGCATGGGTTGGACTTGCCAAATGGTTTGAGTTGTTGACCGCCCTTAGAAGCATTTGAAGGCAGGGGAGATTCTGGTACATCTGGTATTTGAGAGAGAATTCAAGTCAAGGTGGAGATTGTTAGAATATGACTTGAATTTGATTTGGGTTTGTTTTGTGTTTTGGGCCTACTTTGTTTGGGTTTGTGTTTGGGCTTTGTTTTACCTTTTCCTTGTATGTTTGTGAAAAGGTGTTTGGTTTTCTGTTTGGGATTAGGAGAAGAGTTCTATAAATACTCTTCATCACCCTAGTCTGTAGTAAGGTCAGTCAGGTTAGTTTGTTTGGTTTGTCTGTTTGGAATTTGGTTTGTAACCTGTACTCTCCTCAAAATCAGTGAAATTTGTTCTCCCTTGCCCGTGGATTAGCTAACACATATTGTGTTAGTGAACCACGTTAAATTTGTGTTCGTTCGTGTTGGTTTGGATTATCGATTGCACGCTTCTGTTCTGACAATACCTCATACCTACATATACTAGAAAATCTCCACCAGTGATTCGACGCTTCAAATAATTATAACACTAGGACAATAGATAGACTTGAAAGCTCGGCCACTGATTCGACCCCTCATAATAATTACTTGCACTATAATAGATAGACTTTTAGTATGCTTTCCGAGATACTTGGTATGCTTTAGGAGACTTGTGATGTGATTTTACGTAACTTGTGGTGTGGTTAGATTGTTCTGCTTTCTCACCCTTCCAACGAATGATCCGCTCGAGACTTAGTGAAAATGAAATACGTTTAGAATTTCCATAAAATTTGATCCCTAATTAATAGGTTCAGAATATCCGAAAACCAATTCACATTTATTCAGCTTTCAAGCCTAGTTGGAATGGTCCAGTGATTGTCCCATAATCCCGCATGCATTAAGCCCACTAGAGCAATAATTGGATCCGAGATCATATTGCAGTATTCTAAACCCAATAAGGTAGGTTATTTCACAAACACAAGTTAAGATAACTATCCACCCACAATTCGATTGAAATTCCCACTTCGTCATCTTCTTCCTCCGGCCGAAATGATCCCAGAACGGAATACACCTACCTGGAACAAGAACGAAAACTAAATAAATAAAGGGGCAATACAATAGACTTGTGGCGTGCTTTTATAAACATGTGGTTTGCTCTACGTTACTTTTGGCATGCAATAATAAACTTCTGGTGTACATTATTGGTCATGTTGTGTGCTTTAACGAACTTATTGTGTGTGTTTCTAAACTTGTGGTCTGCTTTCTGCAATCGTGTAATAGAGAGAGGGAAGAAAGAAGAAGACTTTATGCATCGTAATTGCTCGGATCGAATTCAACGGAGAACGGGGGTTGTGATTACAAAGTTCTGCACCGGAATTGGAATCGATTGAAGTGGAATCATTCGTCGGAGTGGCGGTGAGAGATGGGGATAGAAACAGAGAGAGAGAGGGAGAGAGAGAGAGCACGAGAACGTGTGACGGATGAAGGGCTGACGGTACGAGAGGATGCGAAAAGGGTTGAGTGTTTTGCATATGAGGGTTGGGTCGTCTGGCCAAAACATGACTTTGGTTCGTACGTCTTGGCCAATAATCTTACGAAAGTGGATTAGAATGTAACGTTTTTGGGTCGTGGGACTGGTGCTGTAATTGTATTTATAATTCCACATAAATAGCCCACTAATTATCTCGCCTGTTGAGATGGATCGCACGTCAGAGATGTGTGGTGTACGACATACCGCCATTTTTTGCTGGTGGACGATAGACGTCACCATATATATATATATATGTAAAATTCAGGCTAGCATACATCAGGCGTACATTGTACGCCCGTCAAGTTTTACTATTTAGAGCACGAATTAACCGAAGTTTGGGACATGATACTATACCCTAACCTCTAATTGGTGAACCCCAGTCCCTAATTCTCTAACCTAAGCCACATGATTTATTTAATCTAAAAAATAATAACCAACGGATCTGATTCAACCAAATATATTGAAGTGCAATAATCAAGTGTGAACGCAGCCGCACAACGTACGCCAAGTGTACGCTAGCCTTTGCAAACGCTATCCACTATGTCGAGAGTTCTACGGCACCTAGGGTAAAATCCGGGGTACCGCATATCTCGAGTATGAAAACGCTATCCAGACCTTGAATTTTCTTATATTTCATACATTATACCATACTTTAACCCTTAAATATCAAAATCTATGTCTTAATTCTCTAAATTTTATACCCCAAGATCAATTGAATTAGAAACAATAATCAACAGTTATGATTTATAGTTTGTGATTTAGATAATTAGGACATAGGGTTCACTCATTAAGGGTTGGGTATAGTATAGGGCAACAAAAATCCTACTAATTCAAGGTATAGATAGCATTTTCATACTCAAAATAAGCGGTACCCCAAATTTTACTCGGCGTACCGTAGAAGACACACGCTCCACTGAATATATGAATTTTGTAAATTCATAACTCAATATATGAATTTTGTAAAGTTGCTTCATTATATATAAAAAAAATTGCTTCGTGTTCTTTAAAAAAAAAAAAAAAAAAAAAGCTTCGTGGTTGCCAATTGCCATTGCCAAGCGTAGATGACTAGATGGTCGTGGATACGAAGGAAAGGACAAATTGTTAAAACAAAAAAAAAAGTAACATTTATTGAGTTCCTGAAAACTTGCTGCTGAAACTTCCAACAATGAAAGAGAGAGGGCTAGAATAGAATGCTAAATCCAATGATTTAGAAAGTGTCACGTGTGTCTCCTTCCTAGCAAACCACCAGTCTCCTCCAGCATCATTCTTCCTTTTCTTGGCTGATAATTTTGTGTTAATTGAGCTCCACTTAATTTCTTGGATTTGCTTACAAAATCGCCCGATCCCAACTTCCCTCACCAACTACCAACATAAATATAAATCAAACCCTACACCAAACACGGCCACCAATATATAACATTATTGATCCCATTGCCCTCCTTCTCCCCCTCTTCTTCCATCCTCCTCAAAACCAGACTCACCCTTTGGCCAAACACACATATATAGCATGGACAAACCATGGAATCAAGCCACCCTAGCAACTTGGGAGATGATGGTATCGAAGAAGAAGTGGTCGGTGTGTGTGATCGGGGCAGGGCCTTCAGGTCTGGTGGCAGCTAGGGAGTTGAGGAAAGAAGGGCATAGGGTGGTGGTGTTGGAGCAAAAACATGATGTAGGTGGGCAATGGTTGTATGATCCAAACATAGAGAAGGAGGATCCATTGGGGCAGACCAAGTTCTTGGATGTCCATAGTAGCATCTACACCTCACTTAGGCTGCTCTCCCCAAGAGAGATCATGGGTTACACAGATTTCCCATTCTTTGTGAAGGAAGGGCCAGGGAGGGACCCAAGGAGGTTCCCTGGCCACAAGGAGCTATGGCTGTATTTGAAAGAATTTAGTGTGCATTTTGGGCTGAGGGAATTGATTAGGTTCAATACAAGGGTTGAGTATGTGGGAATGTTGGATGGTAGTTGTGGGGGTTTGAAATGGGTCGTCAAGAGCAGAAAACTACTCAAAGTTGCTACAAGTAGTGCTAATTATTATGATAATAACAAAGAGAAAGTTGATGAAATTGGAAGTGACGTGGGGAGTGAGGAGGTGGTGGTGGAAGAGGTTTTCGATGCTGTGGTTGTGGCTAATGGCCATTACTCTCACCCTCGATTGCCGTCTATTAAAGGTACGTGTGTTAATTATGTGCTTTATTTTACTTAAATTCATAACCTCTGAATGATTAAGAGGGTAATCTTGGGCTTTGTTGTGTTTAATTATTAGGAATGGATACTTGGAAGAGGAAGCAAATGCATAGCCACGTGTACAGGGTTCCAAAGGCATTCCAAAATCAGGTAGGTAACTAATGAAAGAGGGAACTATCATTATTTAATTAATCCATACATAACAGTAATTTTTTAAATTTCTTTTAATAAATTAGGTGGTAGTGGTGGTGGGAAACTCCCTAAGTGGGCAAGATTTATCAATGGAGCTGGCGGGAGTAGCAAAAGAAGTTCATATCAGTGCAAGATCGCAAAACACTCTCACTGAGGGCTTCTCCACAGTCATTTCCAAATATGAAAATCTCCACCTTCGACCTCAGGTACGTACTCATTTGATTAATTAATTAATTAATTAGATGTTTTGTTTCCTGTTTTACACAATTAAAAAATCACGATTGATTGATTGACAGATCAAATCACTTGAAGAGGACGGAAGAATTCTATTTGTCGATGGGTCTTTTGTGGTTGCCGATGCTATCTTATATTGCACAGGGTACTAATTAGTTTAATTAATTATATATGCACGCATAGTAATTACATATCTATAGATATTCAGCTTCTATTAGATTGAATTAAATAAGTACTAAAGCATAATCTGATATATTAGTTTCTTAATAACATGATTGGCAAAACCAAAAAGAAATTGGGAGCTCGATGGGTCTATCTATCCCCCACCATTTCGATAAACTAAAAAGTTGGTTACATTTGCACATTTCCTTTTCAGCTTCGCCCAAATAAATCATATTTATATCATATAAAAAAAAAACAATAGTTAAACATTCATATCCCTGCCAAATCAATTTCTTCTTTTGGTATCGCCTTCCCATTAATCCATATATATCCCACCAAACCAAACCAAACCAAACCAAACCAAAGCTAGCTAGTTGTAGTTGAAGCCTTGCTGTGGGGCCTCTGCTGAAGCTCCAAATGAATCCAATTGAGTGGTGCAAGCAAATGTTTGCTGAACAGAAAAGTTTCCTTGTCAAAGAATCAAAGCACAGTATCTCTCTCTCTCTCTCTCTCATACATGCATACATACAAACATATAAATGATAATGATAGGGTGTGGCAGAGTTGGTTCCCTAACAGCTTAACCCATTCAAAGCTAGCTACTTGCTCTAGCTATCTATATATGAAAAATGTATGTATGATGGTGGTCCATTTAATTGTTTGTTTGTTTGTTTGTTGCATGTAACGTAATGGTAACGTAGGTATACATACTCGTTCCCTTTTCTTGACACCAAAGGAACAGTAACTGTGGAGGACAACAGGGTGGGGCCTTTGTATCACCACACCTTCCCTCCTTCACTTGCTCCCTCCCTCTCTTTTGTTGGCATCCCCAGAAAGGCAAGCTAGCTAATTAAGTCACATTCATTACATACATACGTATCTTTTCTTTTCTTTTCTTTAATTACGTGAATATAATGCACAAAATGAGCAACTGGTTCGTTTTTGCTTTGCAGATCATAGCCTTCCCTTTCTTCGAATCGCAAGGGAAATGGATTGCTCAAGTGCTGAGCGGGAAAAGGAAACTGCCTTCCCCGGATGACATGATGCACCACATTCACCAATTCTATCGGCAAAGAGAGGCCGACGGAATTCCCAAGCACGACACCCACGACATCATTCACTTTGAGGTGCGTGCGCAAGTGAATCAGAGTCAATCTTGAATGATTTTTGTACGCATTTTCTTGCTTTTTGCATCGTATCACAATCGGTAATTCTATTCTTGTTGTATCGCATGCAGTACTGTGACATGTACGCAGATCAGGCAGGCTTCCCACATCTGGAGGAGTGGAGGAAAAAGATGTGCCTCGTCGCTTTGGACAACTCATATGCCAACTTGGAGACATACAGAGATTCTTGGGACAATGATGAGCTGCTTCAAGAAGCTCTTCAGAGCCCCCATTTCACCCAGCAACTTGGCCCAATCATCACCTGAAAACGTTTCTATACTACAAACTTCCAAGTGATGAATAAAAAACTACATCCCCATGAGGAGGACCATACATCCATTTGGTAGCTAGCTTACCACCATATATGCATGTATTTCTTTTTCTCACGTACGTACGCTTCACCTTGTGGGATTTCTGTTTCTCCTTGTCCAATCAAAGAAGCCATAATAATGTTGGCTTCTTATGAGAAGCTTTAATTTAGAGTGCCTATATACGCTTGCTTGGATATGACATTGAATCACATATCCCAAGGAGCATCATCGTTGTTGGAATTCTGTTTCGATTGAGTTAATCGTTTAAATTTCATTTTTGCTACAAAGTTTACTGTTTTGTTTCTCATTTATCACTTGAAATTTTAATTGTATTAGTGGTCATTCTATTAAAATACCATTCCAATTTTGGTTACTGACCGCCAACATCCGTCTCACCCTGTTAATGCCTTGAGTTTTTTAACCCGAAAAATAAAACTCCACCCATATTGTTAAATATTGAAATAAATAAAGTTTAATTAAATAATAAATCTGCAAAATATCTGAACTCCCTAGAATATTGGTGAATATGTGGATTGTACGTGTATATTGTGGAAGCTTGTAGAGAATGGTGAATTAAAAAATAAAAAAAAACCAGAACCACAAATATGAAGTAGGTTCTAACTGCTCTATTTATTGAGCTGCAGATTTTTATGTAACTAAGGCCTATAAATAGGCTTGGATGTTGTAGGAAGAGATGTAGAGCCAAAAACAAAGAAAGAAGAAGCAATAAGCAATAAAAGCTTCCAAGTCCCCATTGTCTCTAAAATTCCCTCTGCCAATCTCATTCTCCAAGTTTCAAATATATATATCCAAAGCCTCCCATTGCTCATAAACGAGCTCCCCACCATAGAAAGCCCACCATTAGTTTTGATTAATAAGGAAATAATTAATTTATTTCCAACAAAGTGGTATCAGAGCCCGAGTTATTCTTAAGTATGCTCTGTGGTTGCAGCGTAGTCTGATCTTCCACATCAGAAAAGAATTTCTCGTGTTGTGGTTATCACGATTGTCCCATGGCCGAAAATCCACTTTCCCCATTCAATTCCCCCACCTTACCAAAACCAATTATAAAAATTGGTGCATCCGTATGAGAGCCTTGCTGGGATCCCAAGATGCTTGGGATATTGTCGAAAAAGGCTACGAGATTCCCGTGGAGGATTCTCGGTTATCTCCTGCTGAAAAGGAGGTATTGAGAAAAAATAGAAAGAGTGATCAAAAGGCACTCACTCTAATTCATCAATGTCTTGATGAATCGATGTTTGATCAAATAGCAGATGCTACCACAGCGAAGGAAGCATGGGAAATTTTGCAAAAGGAAATGCAAGGCGTAGAACCAGTAAAGAAGGTTCGACTTCAGACACTAAGGGGAGATTTTGAAGCCATTAAAATGAAGGAGGGTGAATCTGTTTCAGATTACACCGCCCGTGTGAAGTCAGTCGTCAGCAAACTGAAGCAGTATGGGGAGAAAATTGAAGAGACCAAAGTGGTGGAGAAAATTCTACGGTCATTATTACCAAAGTTTGATTATGTGGTGGTAGCCATAGAGGAAGCTAAGGATGTGTCAAAAATGACGGTTGATGAAGTCATCGGTTCATTACAAGCCAGAGAAGAAAGACTAAATAAAAGAAATGAAGAATCGTCAGAACAAGTGTTAGCTACAAAAGCTACCACTGAGGAGAAAGAAGGTGCCCGAGGAGGAGGTCAGTACAGAGGTCGAGGCAGAAGCAACTACAGAGGAAGAGGAAGAGGAAGAGCCCGAGGAGCATATCAAAGCAGAGACGGAGGAAATTTCACCACGAACAATTATGAAACGTCCACCAGAGGCAGAGGTCGTGGTCGTGGATGTGGAAGAGGAAGTTGGAGATCAAATGAAGGTCGTGATAAATCCAACGTTCAGTGCCATAATTGTTCGAAGTACGGGCATTATGCATCAGAATGTTGGAGTCCTCCTAAAGAAGTGGAGGAGACAGCAAACAACGTGCAAGAAGAAGTCAAAGGCACATTGATGCTGTCACGTCAAGGAGATGAAAAACCGAGAGATAACATGTGGTATCTGGATAATGCAGCAAGCAACCACATGTGTGGAAAAAGAAACATGTTCGTGGATATGGATGAATCAGTGAAAGGAAATGTCGTATTTGGAGATTCCTCGAAGGTTCCTATCAAAGGCAGAGGAACTATACTCATCCGGCTGAAGAATGGCTCACAACAATTTATCAGTGATGTGTACTATGTCCCAGACATGACTAGTAACATCCTGAGTTTGGGTCAATTGATGGAGAAGAATTATGAAGTCCACATGGTGAATCCTCAACTGGAGTTGTTAAATGAGAAGAAGCAGTTATTGGCCAGAGTCCCAATGTCGAGAAGCAGAATGTTCACTCTGTACATTCAAACTGAAATGGCGAAGTGCTTGAAAGCATGTGTGAAGGACAATACATGGCTATGGCATCTAAGGTATGGTCATCTAAATTTTGGAGGCCTGAAGTTGCTCGGTCAGAAGAAGATGGTGCATGGTCTGCCAGTGATCAATCATCCAGACCAGTTGTGTGAAGGATGCTTAATTGGAAAGCAATTCAGGGCAAGTTTCCCGAAGGAGTCCCTGTCACGAGCTAAAGCACCACTTGAGCTCGTCCATGCAGATCTCTGTGGACCGATCACCCCAACATCGTTCAGGAAGAACAAATACTTCCTATTGTTCATTGATGACTACAGTAGAAAGACATGGGTTTACTTCTTGAAGCAGAAGTAGGATACATTTGAAGCTTTCAAGAAGTTCAAGATGATGGTGGAGAATGAAAGTGGCCGCAACATCAAAGCAATGAGATCTGATAGAGGGGGAGAATTTATGCTAAAGAAGTTCAGAAACTTCTGTGAATATCAAGGAATTCGCAGGTTTCTCACATTCCCAAGATCACCACAGCAAAATGGAGTTGTTGAAAGAAAGAATCGAATTGTACTCAACATGGCGAGAAGCATGATGAAGAGCAAGAACCTGCCAAAGGAGATATGGGCTGAAGCTGTTGATTGTGCAATCTACCTGCTGAACAGGTCACCAACAAAGAGTGTTTAGAATCAAACACCCCAAGAAGCATGGAGCGGAAGGAAACCCACAATCTCTCACCTCCGGGTCTTCGGAAGTGTTGGATATGTGCATGTACCGGATCAAGAAAGGAAGAAGTTGGATGACAAAAGCAAGAAGTACATATTCCTGGGATACTCAGAACACTCAAAAGGTTACAAAATGTTTGATCCCGTGGAAGAGAAGCTGATCATCAGCAGAGACGTGGTAGTTGATGAAGAAGCAACATGGGATTGGACTGCTGAAGCAAAGAAAAATTACACTTTTTATCCATTCACTATGGATGAAAGTGATGATGAACCAGATACAGCTACACCTGTGACAAGTCCACCCAGTCACAGAGAGCCTGCTAGCCCAGAAGGAGAATCGAGTGAAAGTCCCCGAGAAAGGCCACAGAAGTATAGGAGACTTGAAGAAATTTATGAGGAAACGACAACCATTGAAGGTGATGAATTGACACTCTACTGTCATTTCATTGATAGTGAACCAGTTGATGTCGAAGAAGCCATGAAGGATGAAAAATGGAAGAGAGCTATGGATGAAGAAATTGGAGCAATTGAGAAGAACAAGACTTGGGAGCTTGTGTCACTTCCTAAGAACCAGAAGCCAATCGGTGTGAAGTGGGTATTCAAGGCCAAGAAAAATGCTAAAGGAGAAGTCGTCAGACACAAAGCAAGATTGGTGGTGAAAGGATATAGTCAGAGACCAGGCATTGACTATAATGAAGTTTTTGCTCCCGTGGCGAGAATGGAGAGTATCAGGATGGTGATATCTCTCGCTGCTCAAAATGGATGGAAGATACATCAAATGGATGTGAAGTCAGCTTTTCTCAATGGATATCTCGAGGAAGATATCTATGTGGAGCAACCACCTGGATATATCGTTGAAGGTCAAGAAGATAAGGTGCTAAAGCTAAAGAAAGCACTGTATGGTCTTAAACAAGCACCGAGAGCTTGGAATAGCAGGATTGACAAGTATTTTTAGCAGAATGGATTTAGCAAATGCCCACATGAGCATGCACTATACTGCAAGGTGCAAGGGGGAGCAATATTGATGGTTTGCCTATATGTAGATGATCTCGTCTTTACAGGCAACGATCCTCAAATGTTTGAAGAGTTCAAGAAGACGATGGTTCGTGAGTTCGAGATGACAGACATCGGACTAATGTCATACTATCTTGGAATTGAAGTAAGTCAAAAAGAAGAAGGAATTTTCATCTCACAGGGTGGTTTCGCCAAGGAAGTCTTGAAGAAGTTTAAAATGGAGAATTGCAATCCTGTGAGTACACCAGCTGAGTGTGGACTGAAACTATCAAAGGATGACAAAGGAGAGAAGGTAAACTCAACGAAGTTTAGAAGCCTTGTCGGAAGTCTGAGATATCTTACTTGTACCAGACCAGATATTCTCTACGCAGTTGGATTAGTCAGCAGATACATGGAGGCACCAACTATGTCACACTGGAATGCTGCAAAGAGGATACTGCGCTACATTAAAGGTACAATCGATCATGGTCTTCTTTATACTAAGTCAGAAAATTTCAAATTGGTTGGATACTGCGATAGTGATTGGGCAGGAGACGTCGATGATCGCAAGAGCACTACAGGATTTGTATTTTTTCTGGGAGATAAAGCTTTCACATGGAGTTCAAAGAAGCAAGCTATTGTGACATTATCTACTTGTGAAGCTGAGTATGTTGCTGCGACATCGTGTGCGTGTCATGCGATATGGCTGAGAAAGTTACTGAAGGAGTTGAATATGACACAAGAAGAATCAACTGAGATATTTGTGGATAACAAGTCTGCCCTGGCACTAGCAAAGAATCCGGTGTTTCATGATCGCAGTAAGCACATTAATACGAGATATCATTTCTTAAGAGAATGTGTGGAGCAAAAAGAAGTGACGCTGAAATATGTGAAAACTGAAGACCAGATTGCTGATATTTTCACGAAGCCGCTTAAGCAAGATGTATTCGTCAAGATGAGGACGCTTCTCGGAGTTATGAAGAATTAAACTTTAAGGGGGAGTGTTGAAATAAATAAAGTTTAATTAAATAATAAATCTGCAAAATATCTGAACTCCCTAGAATATTGGTGTATATGTGGATTGTACGTGTATGTTGTGAAAGCTTGTAGAGAATGGTGAATTAAAAAAAAAAAAAAACCAGAACCACAAATATGAAGTAGGTTCCAACTGCTCTATTTATTGAGCTGCAGATTTTTATGTAACTAAGGCCTATAAATAGGCTTGGATGTTGTAGGAAGAGATGTAGAGCCAAAAACAAAGAAAGAAGAAGCACTATGCAATAAAAGCTTCCAAGTCCCCATTGTCTCTAAAATTCCCTCTGCCAATCTCATTCTCCAAGTTTCAAATATATATATATCCAAAGCCTCCCATTGCTCATAAACGAGCTCCCCACCATAGAAAGCCCACCATTAGTTTTGATTAATAAGGAAATAATTAATTTATTTCCAACAGTTAAACACATGCTTGGGCGGACCATAAAAAAAACCTTCCTAACCGTGGCTCTTGTTCTTTGTTAGAATTTGGTAATCAAAGGTGTAATGGCGTTCTTCTTACGGCGAGAACCAGCCAGTTTTGTATTATGACATTTCCCTTAATAATCTGCCGCCTTCTTATTGAGTTCAATCCTCTTTGTATAGAGGAGAAATTCCTAGCGATCGAGCTCACAAGATTCAGTCTCTAATCTCATACGATTTTGAGCATCACTTAAGTCGATCTCCTTACCTAATTAAATAAGAAAAGATACTGCCAACTAAGGAAAAAAAAAACTGAACAAACCGAATCCTGAAAACAAATCAAATCTGGAAATCCTATCACTACGTTGGCAGCAGCTATGAAACTTGAAAGGCCTTCCCTAAGCCACATTTTGGGCCAACACTCTCTACATGGCCATTGCATGGGGCCCTACGTCCCTTTGGCCCATCATTTCCCCCTTAGGAAGAATTACCTTGTCCTCAAGGCTTGCTTCATCAAAGCGATCAAACAGCTCAGAGATAACCTCCCAGGTGGCGTCTTCCGTCTGCAGGTCTCCACATTTCACCAACGATTCTTTGATGAAATTATTGCCGTGACGCAGCCAGCGAGTGTCGAGGATGGACTCAGGGACGAGCTCCAGGAAGCCATCATTAGCAATTGGTGAGATGGTCGTATTGAGTTGAGCATCAGGTGTAGTGCAGCGACGGAGAAGCGGGACGAGAAAGACCGGGTGGGCTCAAGAACCAGTGGGTAGCCCAACCCGATAAGCCACTGGCCCGATGCGTTCGGTGATGCGATAGGAACCATGGTATCTCGCAGCCAGCTTCTGCGAAGCACGTCTGGGTGTTTTGGAGATTGATCTTCAGGTCTTGTTGTAACATCCCGAAACTTTTCCCGACAAGATATTGTCCGCTTTGGGCCTCTACACCCGCACGGATTTCGACTTGGGGTGCAATTCAGGGTGTCTTCCCATAAGGTCACCCATCCTTGTTGTACTCCACAATGAGCACGTTTAACTTCGTAGTTCTCACAAGAACTCCTCCGTTTCATCCCAAAATGTGTCTTGTTAGTTAAGGTCCGTTTCCTACTTATGAACCATGGATCTCTCCCATGCTTTGTCGATGTGGGACTCAACGCCCTCGTTGAGGTTTGCCCCACCATCGTTCAAGAGGGACGCGGAGAGGCTCTGATACCACTCTGAAATCCACTACGGGCTCCCTGGTAACCACCTCTGGTTGGGGCTCTACTAAGGTGCACTGAAGGTTTGGACTGAGTAGGCCTTCCTCCTCCCCTGTAAGGACAGTTCCTCATGATGTAACCCGGCTGACCGCATTGAAAGCATACTCCAGAAAACCTCCAACACTCTCCAAAGTGTCTCTTCTGACAAACTTGACAAACTGGAGCCGGTGTGGCTGAAGAAACTGATGCCTTGTATGATGTTCCTGACATAGATTGACTCGATGTTCTCCCAAAAGTGTTGGGACCTCTCTTGGATGGGTAACGAGGTCCAGAATAACTCACTCCAAACTTCCTCTTCTTCTCCTCTTCTTTGGCCTTGTGTTCCTCTCTACCCTCAACTTCATAGGCTTTGTACTTAAGTGATGCCTCCTTGATAGTGGCCATACTCTCTTCATCAACCCTGTGGATCTTTTCTTTCAACCCTAGGCGCAGACCATGTAAGTATCCCATCTTCTTCTTATGCTCAGTATTCGCCAACCCATCTTCAAAATAGAGTAGTCGAACAAACTTAATGGTGTACTCAATAACTGTCATGTTCTCCTGCTTAAGGTTGGCGAATTCATTATTCTTTGCCCTGATAAAAGCTTCGGGAAGAAACTCTGTCTTAAAGGCCTTCATGAACTCCTCCCAGGTGAACTGAACTCGTTCACCATTAACTCTAGAGACTAAGGACCACCAGCTCCTCGCGTACCCCTTTAGTAGAAAAACAACATATTGCACTTTTTCCTCTAGGGTTGCATAAAGATACTCAAACACATCTTCCATCTCCCTCAACCACTCTACCACAGCATCCAGACTAACATCTCCTTTAAATTCCCTACCACCCAAACTCTTCATCTTTGCATAGTCTAATACTGGCGGTCTTCCATCAACCGCCCCCACTCCTCTCGATTGGCCTTAGATTGATCCACACAAAATTCATTCTTCACCCACTCTCTCACTTGGTTAAACAAAATTTTACCAAAATAATTACTTGAAAACAAATAATTTCAAAACTCAATTTTGAAAACCATGATGTAGATAATTTCATCCAACATACCAATACATATAATCATGTCAACCTCAATTCCCAATTTAAGTCATTATGGGGTACTCCCCTACTTAGGAGTATTTAACCTCCCCTAGGTTATAGTACGCCATAACAGCAAAAAGAGGGAACCAGGCTCTGATACCAAACTGTAACATCCCGAACCTTTTCTCGACAAGATACTGTCTGCTTTGGGCCTCTACACCCGCACGAATTTCGACTTCCCATAAGGTCACCCATCCTTGTTGTACTCCACACTGAGCACATTTAACTTTGGAGTTCTCACAAGAACTCCTCTGTCTCATCCCAAAACGAAGTCTCGTCAGTTAAGGTCGGTTTCCTACTTATGAACCATGGATCTCTCCCGTGCTTTGTCGATGTGGGATTTGCCTAATGTGTTACATTTGTAACACCTCATTGCGGCCGAGCAGTGCTGGATCCACGGCCTGGACGGCAGTCTCGTCCTTGGTATAGAAAGGAATCGTTGGAGGCACTCGACCGTATACTACTTGGAATGGTATAGTTCAAATTGAATGATGGTACGTCATGTTGTACCAAAACTCAACACATGGAACGTAAGTCATCCAACAACGGGGCTGTTGGTGGGTGAAGCATCGGAGGTACTGCTCGAGGCTTCGGTTTACCACCATGGTTTCCCCATCCGTTTGTGGGTGGCATGATGACGACATGCCCAGTGTGAATCCCGATAACCTGAAAAGCTCATGCCAAAAGTTACTCACAAAGACGGGATCACGGTCACTTACAATCGATCGGGGAATGCCATGAAGCTTGAAAACTCCATTGATGAAGGCATCGACCACCGACTTTGCCGAATAGGAATGAGACATACCGATGAAGTGGGCCGCTTTGGACAAACGATCGACAACCACCAGGAGGGCTGTCTTTCCCGCCGATGAAGGTAAGTTGTCGATGAAGTCCATCGAAAGTTCCTCCCATATGAGTTTTGGAATGGACAGCGGCTGTAGAACCCAGCAGGTGTCAGTGAGAGGGATTTGGCCTGTTGACATACGTCGCAACTGAGAAGCGAGACGCTTGTAGGTCCGTCAAATTGAAGTGCCCGCTGGTAGGCGTGGCGTGGTATTCCTTCAGCAGCTGTATCGCCAATGGTGATTCTGGGGAGAGGACCACTCGATCGTCATAAAGAGCCATGCCTCCTTTCACAGTGTAGCGCCCAGGATTTTGAGAGTTGGCTTTTGCGATGATTTCTTGTACATAGGGATCCTCGAGGGCAGCTTTTTGTAAAGCCTCTCATAGGTTCTGAAATGGGTAGGAGATTTCCCATGAATTACCTAGAGTGGCTTGTGAATTATCTCGTGGAGAATTCTAGAGATTCCTTCATTATCCCCTATGACAACTGGGGAAAAGCTAGTGACAATAGCTCATATGTCTCACTAGGGTGAAGGGTAGGCATGAGGTGGGTTGAATCATTTGGGCCCAATTGCTATTCTGGTCCAATTTTCAAGTTGGTCGAGACTATTGGTGTGAAGCCCAAGGCAGACGGAAGCTTATCACTGGTGTCCTCTGGTGGTACAGGTCGACGGGAGAGTGGATCTGCAGTTTGGTTCTCTCGCCCAGATTTTTAGTGCCCAAAGCTTTGCTCATGAACGCAATAGGTCGTTCTTCTTGCAATAAGATAGCACCAAGCCCTTGTGACCACAATAAAATCCTGACTAGAGTCCAAGTTTTTACACTCTAGTCGGGTGCAATATAGAGCAAGTATTTAGATATCAACCCAGGTCGGTCTGTCTACCCCTACTTCAATTGTTTTAATCATTATCTAGCAACAAACTTTTGGTTTAAAAGTTTGCTAATTGTAATAAAATAGGACAAAGTTAAATGGTTTTGAAAAATCTTTTGTGGAAGGATCACTCAGGTGTCGCTTCCCCCTAATTACTACCATGATATGTGAATTGGAACGATCTTTTTGGGCAAGGTAATCGCGAACCGCAGAGGGATGAATATATGGTCGAGGACCACAATCTCAATTTCTAAACCGAGGTAAACATAAAGGCCGTGTCACTCGACCCTCTCGGTTTAAGCAATCGGTAGTTGACTTACTCCCTCACTCAACACAAAGGTCGGACGACTTAAACATGATTAACCGATTTGCTTAAATCAACAGTGAGGGTTGCTCTCAATTAACCTAGTTAGGTAGCGTAGAAAGATGAAGGAAAAGCAACTCAATTGAGTCTCCCTTGAAAGGTGGATTTTCCTCTCTAAGCTAGGTTAAGGTGGCTAATTATATTGCTACCACCAACATGCACAAACCTAAGGGTGCTAAACACAATTATGCACAATCCTTAGGTTGCTAAGCCCTAAAATTCACAAACCTAAGGATGCTTAGCACAAAACATGCACAACCCCTAGGTTGCTAAGCACAAGCATGCACAATCAACATGAATAATACCTCAATCATTGAATTAAACAATATCCAATGACAATCATTCAATTCACATAAAAGAAACTACACGGTAGAGTTAGGGTTTCACAACACCCAAGTGAAAGGAGATCTACTCCATTCTAGAAATGGTAAAAACAAAAGGAGAAGAGGTGGAAACCATCTTGGAGGAAGCTCCCAATCTTCTTGGCCCTTCTGTTGAACTTTCCTTGAAAGAAATCTTCTCAAAATCCACCTTGAAGCAAAACCCTAGCCTTCTTCTTCCTGGGTTCGTGTTTCTCTCTCTAGAAGTCTAAAGAAGGCTTTTCACACAAAGCGGGCTCTCTCCTCTCTCCTCCTTTCAGCTCATCATTTAAACCAGAGACGAGCTCAGTTCACGGCTGTGAACCATGAAACGCGTCCGTGAACTGCAGGCGTGCGCCAAAACGCACTGCTCCGTTCACTCTTGTTCATTGTCAACAACCTCTCTTCACGGTCTTAGTGACTGTGAACTCACAGAGCGTCTGTAACTTCTGTTTTGGCTCTGGACGCCTAGAGGTTCACAGCCAAGAGCTCTTCTGCACGGTCATGCAAGACCGTGAACTTCCTGGGATACTCGAGAACTGCCCTTTTTCTTCTCTTCTCCTGGTTTTCGATCCATTTCGTCCAACTTTTGACTCCGAGACTGGCTTCACCTATTAAATCCTAAAACACACTAAAACATGAGAAACATAGCGTATATCCAACCTTTTAGGAGTGAATTTTCCACAAACACCTAAGTAAAATTGGGGCAAAACATGTACAATTAGGCCCAAATCACTCCCCAATACTAAGACGTTTGCTTGTCCCCAAGCAAACCATTTCACACAAGGTAATATATCAACCTACACAAATACTTTGGGGACAACTCAAAGGGCACAAAGTAGGAATTCTCAATGGCTATTGGCAATCAATACATGGACCGTTGCAAGCAATACCGACATCCACCACAAACGACATT